CATCATAATAGGTAGATACGAAAAACATATATAAGTTGGAAGTCCGTCTCCAGCAGAGGCATCTAGACTCACTCTCACTCTTTTTCAGTAATTCAAGAAATCCGTAACGTAGGCGCTACGAACTGACACTTGAAGTATGAATCCCAGGCTGCAGGCACCCGTGACCTTCCTCCACACCGTCTTCGAATTCGTGCTCGGGAACCATGCTACTTGTTGCCGAATTTACACGTATATACCTATGTGTGAACACCATGATCTCAGCAAGTCAGGAAACAGTCCCAACCCGAATGGCAAGCCCGTCTTCCGTCTATAAGTTTCTACTTTATTCAAGGGTCCGGCTGCCCCGATCGAGATAATGCGGCACTCATAGAAGAGAGTAGATCTTATCTCCATCGACCTCCAATAGTACTCTGCCTCCGTCATCCTTCACAGACTGAAGCTGGCCCTCCGTGGAATGTTCATGATTTCCTGAAGAGGAAACCTAGACTTCCGCCGGCGGTCGGGGGCTGCATCGACACACCCTTTCACTTAGCGCGCTAATTCTTGGTGCACCGTCACACATATTGGCGGCCCACCGTTGTGTTCCTCGACACCAAAGGTGCCTTCGATTCGGTGGATCGATGTGCCCTTTGGGACTTTCTACTCACGAAAGTTATGCCCACGAAATATATAAGGATCCGAGCGTTTTACGCGCGTAGCTCGGGCAGAGTGAGGGCTTAGGGCAAGCTGTCACCGCCCTTCAATATATCCAATGGTGTAGGACAAGGATTTCCGCTGTTATCTTTCCTCTTCAACTTCGCTATTGACGAAGTCATGGAAATCGCGTTCACAGGACACGACTTAGTTGTGGAGCTGATCCCAGGTGAACGATTTTGCCCTCATCTGTGACAGCTCACAAACGTGTCAGGTAGCACTGGACAGATTAGCGCTGGCTGTCACCAGTTTCGAGCTTTGCTTTGCGTCCTTGAAATGCAAAGCTCTTCCCCAAGATTGGCAGGGACCACCTGCTTTACTGACCTTTGATGAGGATCAGCTAGAAGTCGTTCATAAATGCAGCTACCTGGGTAGTTGTATTTGCGCTTGTGGAATCGAAGAGCAGGTCACGAACCGTACAGAAAAAATTCGAGGAGCTTTTGCTAACCATCGCCACCTATGACGCCGGCGTGATATCATTCTCTTAAGGGTGTAGTTAACAATGCAGCCGTACGTTCGACCCTACTGTGCAATTGCGAAACTTGGACCATTGCTTAGACAGACTTAAAAAGGCTAGTTACCTTCGACCTCCGGTGCCTTCGCAGTTTTTCTCTTCTTTTTTCTTTGTATTGCGGCACAGTAGCTGAGGTGTTCCCCACCTCTAGCTAACGTGTATGATGATGATGCCTTTGCAGTTTGGTTCACTCTGGTGGGAACACCGTGGATGGAAGAGAAGAGGTGGGCTAAGCGATGACTTGGTCAAGAGGAATGAGGCCCTTAGTTTGAAGCTGGCCTCGATTGGAGCCTCTCAACTCCCTGGTTGGGGTCCGACGGACGATGAACATGTTTGGCTGGATAACTTGCTGACATGGCTAGGAGCCGACCTCGGTGGCGTTTGTGTTGTGAGTTCCTTTGTCCCTCCTCATCTCGCTTGTCCTCTCCATCCATCCATGATCTCATTTCTTAGCATAATATAAATATTTATATATAATATATAATATATAATATTTGCTGCACAGTAGCCGGTTCTTAGCTTTCCGGAACGATGCCTATCCGTTACTCTCTTTTCTCATGTATTTCGGCACAATGGCTCAGGTGTTTTCCACCTCTAGCTAACTTGTGTAATGATGATGTTGTTTTACAGAAATGGGTGCCACTACATTTCAAACCCCTAACCTGGAGGACCAGGAGACTGAGTTCGTCTGACTACTAACCATTGACCAATCTGATAGGAGTAGCTCTCAAGGGGCCCAGGGGCACCACCCAGTATTGTTTAATGAATCAATAAGGTGCACAAGCCCTCGCACCACGCGGTCGTTTCGTTGCGACGGTGAGAGCTTGCACAAATCCAAGGGACCGAGTGGTTTCTTGTAGACTTACGAAATTGCAGGCGTGCATTCACTTGGACCATACTTCTAAGGTTTTCTCTTGAACACATGTGTTATCCCAACGGGTCCCCATATGTCGAGGTGATACTATTCTTTGGACATCTGTTAAGGATATAGGTTAAAGATTCCGTGAGTGAATCGGCACACACTTTTAGAACGACAAAGTATCTAAGCCATTAGCCTTATTTAGGCCGCTTTTCGGAGTTCCCTACTGAGACCCAATTCGTCAGGGGCAATTGCAGAGCCTCAGCGAATGGAAGAAGTTTGGGAGAATGTACTCTATGGTTGGTAATTGAATTCGGCATTCGCCTTGTCAACTTCTGCAGGGTTAATCGTCCTACATGAACCTCGACCCCACAGCTGTTTTACGCTTCGCCACAGATCACGGCAGTTATGATTGTGGAACCATTTCGATGTGCAAATTGTTCAATTCTCTGATCACAGTTTTCGTTGCAGTAGTGTGACTTTTGGCTGTGGATGCCACTTCTCAATTATATACTTTTCTAAGTCGTTCCATTAACTGTGTGGTCAATATTTTCGACTGGGCAGCAGAGATCGGGGCGGAAATTGGTGTAATCTCTAGCGTGCTTGCACTACGACGAGCAGTCATCGTTCGTGAACATTGTCCTGTCTTTATCCACAATTCTCGCCTGGGTACTAGTGAGGCATAAGCATATGAGTCGGTATCCAACTATCGTTTGTTACTACTTGAGTTCTCGTTGCGCCACTGGCTCAAATTTTTATGTCAACTCTTTACCAGTCGGCGTGCAGTTTATCCGCGCAATTCACTGTGGCTGTTCCACATTTTTCTAAAAAATATCGCCGCACCATATCGCCCATTATAGTGGGTTCAACCGACTATCTTCCAATCGGTCATCATTTCGCTGGTATGCTAAGCTTTATCCTGTTTGACATGTTTCCACTTTACTGAAATTTTTCGATTACTCTTTAGGTCTGCTGCCTGAATGTCCCATTATTTTACTTCTACAGATGGCATCTCGCTTGGTGGAAACCGTCATGATCAACGTGGATGATTTTTCCGACAGTTTTCTTACTTGTGGCACCTGTTTCAGCGGGTACAATAGGCGAGATCAGGCTGCCAAGTTACTACCATGCTCGCATACAATCTGTCTTTCCTGTCTGAACCGAATCTTGGAAACACAAGTATGTCTTCGACTTTTTCATCAGCTTAATATGGCCACATTCCACATTTTAATTGATCCTACTCGTCCGCAATGTGGCGGTCATTAGCTGTGCTTTTAGACGGGTTTAGCATTTTAAATCTGTTTGCAGCTTAACTTCTTTGGGGAGCTCATTACAAAGATTCCCTGTCTAGGGTGGTCGTCATCCAATTTTTTCTTAACATCCTGTCAAGATGTTGGGGTACTGGTTTGGCTTCGGTTTTGCCTTTCAACCCGTTTGCAGTGTCATTCTACGCCCAAATTCATCTCATGTTCTTAAGCTGATCACCAAATACATTAGTGCCTACGCTCTTTTGTTCTGGTGGTTTGTTATCCGCCAGTGTTATGCGTAGCAACTACATAACTGTCCTCTATCCGTATCCATAATCCATATGACGACTTATCCGGTCTGTCTTAAATCAAGAGTAAACAAGGGTCCGAACCCATCAAGATATTTTGAAACCGATTTTCACCAAATCGAAACGAGCCAAATCCACAAATATGCTCACTGTTGTGAATACTGGCCAAGCGGTATCTCACGGTCGTCATGCGGTTCGCTTTTATGTTTTGGAACCTTGTAGCACTCACCACCTGGATGGGGACTTTTGCTACCTTGGAACCCTTGACTGTCACATATTGTCATGCTTTGGTCAATTTGATCGTTGGTTCTACTACTTAGTTACCCGAGTTGTTCGTCTATATTCTCATCAGTCCAATCCTTCGAGGTTATCCAACCTACTGTCTCATCCATCCCATGAGAATTCAAAGGCTGAAACACGATCCTCGAATATCCTTTGATTGCAACTGACTATGCCATTGTTTCGTTGACTGCGGCCACGTGACTTGTGCATCCGATTAGCGTGCCTTCCTGTTTCTAATTCACACGAGATGACGGTGCACCATGACCTTTCACAAGAAGCTTCATCACCTTTAGAGGAATTTAACAGTTCCTGTTGGTCACGCTCCTAAAGTTATGTGGAAGCATTTATTTTATCTCCTTCGAATACATTAAATAAACACCTGTGTTCCTTTTTTGTTGATTATGTCATATTTCGGATCTAGTTTTCGCATATTTAACGTTCATTCTCCTAACGAGTACTCTGTACGACTTTGACTGGCTCCATCATATACCACAAACTGAACTTCCGGACAAATTCATTGGTCGAATAATAGAATCTCTCGGAAGTCAACATATTCTGATGGTCTTGAAAACTCCCGAAAGTAAATCAACCCACTGCCATATAAATACACGCGTTCTACGTTCCCCATACCTTGACTTTGCGATGTATTAAAATGAATCGATCTGTTACGTTTCTCTGCGTAGTTTAGACACCAAATCTTTAAAATGTTCATCCGTGTGGTGCCTGGTTTCGATCTCGGGCGTGTTGCGAGCAAATTCTTCGACACTGCTAGCTGTAGTCACCTGACACACAAAGGTTACTAACGTCAAATGCTCAACTGTCATTGTTTTCGTTCCTTTGGTGTTCTTATGAAACTGAGCAACTGTATCCGTTCTATTCAGCATCAAAAGTTGTTTTCGATTCCACCAGCTATTGGTCTCAACACACAGTTATTTCTCATCGAGGCAACCTTTATGATTGACTCCTCAACCTCCCACCTTTTACTCACTTCTCCCTATGTTTCCAAACGGCACTTGGTACATCGCACCTAACCGTCGGTAATGGGACTCTGTTGCTTGGAAATTCCTGCTCACCCTTGCCTATCACCTTTACGGTCAGGTCTGTTTGTATCCCCACGAACTACTTACTGGTGGTCAGCTGTGGTTCGATGTGGTCGCAATCAAAATATCATCTTTTGTGTCTATCAATTCAACTATCGTGGCCACATGGTATTTGGACACTGCACATACCCCATATGTTGTTGATGTTCACCAGCTTTTCTGCTTGGTGTATCGTACGTTACTTGATCTCGCTTTCCGGTTTTCATTTTATTCAGCCTGCGTGCTCCGCTACTATCAACTCCCTCCAGCCTCAAACTCTACATTTACTCATGAATTTTGCTTGTCCCCTCATAGGTACCATCTGCTTCCTTTCGTTGCCCCATTTGTCGAGAAACAATTGCAATTCCTGCTGGTGGGGCTTCCTCATTTCCCCCTGCCTTCATTGTCAATCAATTGCTGGATTTGCTTGCAACTCAGCGGCGTGACGTTGTCCCGAAGTGCCGCTCACATCCGAATCAAGAGCTGCTGTTTTGCGAAACCTGCGATGTAGTGTTTTGCTCAGACTGCCGAGGCCGTAATCATGATGCTCCGACGAGCGTTAACTCACATGACAACGGATCGCATAGTTCGCAGTGGACAGATGAGCCTTCTTTGGCAGCAGGCTCTTCCACCAGTTCGGCATTAAACCATAACGTGATCAGTTTCAATGTGGCAATAAAACGATGCACAGAGATCATGTTATACAAAATGCATTTATGTGTGCAAGAGCTCAATAACGCTCAAGATGCGGTTTCCGCCGAATTGGATCGGCTCTCGATTAATAAGAACACGTGCGTCGAGGTATGTACTCAATACGTGCTTGATCATAAAACAGTACGCCTATTTCATTTTCTTGCTCTTCACGACGGCCGAAGGTACTTGCGTTGAAATTTTTTTTACTTCTCTTCTCAGCTTAAGTGATATAACCCCTTTTTGCTATAGTCTAATTTTTTCGACAGTAGGAAGGCATTTTTTGCACAGCGGAGAATTTTATCCACTTCCTTAAGTATGATATCATTTTAGCGGTTTCGTGGCTTGTTCGGCTCCTCCCATTCCTTCCACTGTACTTAAATGCCATCAATAAGCAAATGTACGCCTCTTCTAATCTAATCAGGCGATCGACTCGAAATTTTCGGAAGTGATGGCCCTCGTTGAACGTCGTCGGACGGAGCTGCTGGACACAGTGAGACGTCTCACGGACGAAAAGCAACGTTCTCTGGTCGATCAGCTCTCCTTAATCGAATCCGAACGCGAAGCAATTCATCGCGAGTGCAGCAGCTTAAAAGGAATCGTAAGTTGATCCCGCGTTCTACCGGAGCTCTATAGTCTGGTTCTCTCGCGATTCTAGCCTTGTTATGTCAACTGGTTGTACAACAGCTGTCTGTGTTAGGGATTGACCAGGTATTCTAGTTCCCCACCCGACTAACATCAAACCTACCATTGGTCAGCCAAACTTATTAGCTTGTGTAGTCCATACCTGGTAAGGTTACCTGTTCTCGTGGTTATTCAGTTCATTCATATTCGTGCTTTCTATCCCTCCATAGTTGCTGAAATTCCATTATTCTTGTTACATCTAACTTCTGTGTAATTCCAGTTGAAACAATCTTGCTTTCCTCCAACTTCCAAGCACAATCAAAATCAGAAGCTGGTGACCTTAGCAAAAATGTGTTCGACAGAACGGCTACCGAAGCGTGCTACGCCTCATGACTAGGCTGAGACACTAGGTTCACCAAAGATCTTTTGATTGCTAGAACAGCTAGGTTAGCTGTTAAGGTTGCTTGTGCCAAATCAGTTAAGCTTGTCTACAAGTAGGTAACGACACCATGTGACGTTTCTGAATTTTTATGTACCTATCTAGTAGATATGGTGGATTTAAATCGCTTCCTTGCAGAAAGCCTTTTCAGGATAATTATTAAGCTTTCAGGCGATACATTTCGGAGCAATCTGTTGTGATTTATATCATTCGGCTAGCGGCAGCTTAGCGTACCCAGCATTCTTATGGGTGATATTTTCCTGTAATGCCATCAGTCCTTTTCCACATAATAATCACAATGCAGTACCAACGATTTTACCTATATTCGGTTCACGGACTACTCAGCAGGAAGAGTATTAGGCGGCCGCAACAAAATAGCTCCGTGACACAGTTTCGAGACGTAAAGTGGGCCTGCGGCGAGTCACGCGGAAAGCTGATGCAATCAGTTCGTCATCATGACACGGGTTGCTACGCGGCCGGCGTGAGCGCGACTACAGCTGGCCAGTGGAGACCGCTAGCAGATTTTAATCTGTCTAGACTAGTGAAGTGTGTCAGCCCAGAAACGCACAGCCGGAGTGGTTGGCATGTGACCTACAAAATTAACTTGGTTCTGTTCCTACTACACCTCGATTTAGCAGGCCTTCATCTTTTGTTTACTCCTTAGCTGAGTTGGCAGCGCAGAGAGCAGAGGCAAGGGCAGCATTACAGCAAAGTGAGAAACAGCATGAACAGTCAGTGCAATCCTTAGTGAATTCGAGGATTGTGTCCATCAATCTCGTCGACGCATGGCGAGATATGTGGCGAATTCTTTTAGTGTGACTAGGCTGTTTCCACTACCATGAGGCCTTGTCATACCAGATCCAGACAGGAAGAGTAGGCATTTCAGGTTTCTCTTGCTCTCAGTATCCTTCTTTACTGCTTATTCCATCCTTCTTTAAGCTCTTTAGGTGGACGTAGCCTAGTTGTCTAGGACCTGGGGCCTTTTGTTTTTTCACAAATGTTGTCACCGCACGATTACTGAGCCGCATAGTATTCGCCTGTGCCGCTGTGGGGTTTTCCCAGCTGCCGCTTGTAATATACATTCAGATGGTGAAAGTCCTGTTTACTCATATAACTGCACTAGGTGAATTCTCGTAACTGCATTAAAAGAGATATGAAACGATTCTCCTCATCTCCGAGTCACACACCTGATTTCGGGGTTGATACAAAACGGTGCATTTTGGTGTATCCAGCAATTTCCTCGTCGCTTGCATCGTCAACGACCAGATGGCTGTTAAATCTTCTCACTTGCTGCAATTCCAACACACGCACTCAACCTATTTCACACGACCTCAAACCCAAACGAAGGAAAGAGTCAGAACGACCTTACCCCAAAATAACTTGTTAACCGCAGTCAAACAGGAGCTGTACAAAGGCGGCAGATCATGGTCATATTTATAGGTCGCCTCATGACCTTCGATTTCTAGAATTAGAAAGTCAGACACCAAAGTTACTTGTTCCCCATAGATTTGGTCGATCTTCAGGATGGTTGTTGGTTACGTGCTGGCTTTAGGACATTCCAGAGCGTTCTAAATCGATGCGACAATCGTTAACACTCGGTTATCGCTGAGATAATGGATTTTTCTGAAAATACTTAATTTCTCCCGGACACCTCTCCTCCTGAGATGGGATCTACAGTGTAAGAAGGAATCATAGAATTGACTTGTAGTCTCCTGGACAGTGTGCGAATTCTATCGGTCCATCGCTTCGGCTGAAGTGCGCGAGAAACGGGTCCCGGGGTCTGTCGTGCCTTTTCGTTTCTGGACTGACAGCCATCGTCCGTAGGCTCCTTCGGCAGCTTGAAGCTCTCTACCAACAAGTCAGACGGAAGCTCGGCAGGCTTTACTTTTCTAGTTGGAACAGCGTTGGCCGTAACTGGTTTGTATGGCAAAACCAGGTCTGCGTCCCCGCGATCACTTCATACATGACATTCCCGCGCTTGCCTTTGATCGTACCAGGTGTCCAAGTTGCGTGACCTGACCGATAGTCGCGCACTAGCACTGTCTGCCCTGGCATGAATGATCGTTGCTTAGCCCCATGCCACCGGTTAAAATCCCGTTCCATTTTGCAGTTCCTTTCGCCAACAGAGAGCAGCGGGCTTGGTCGAATGACATCAAATGGCATACGCAGCTTTCTGTTCATCATGGTCTGTGTTGGCGAGACTCCACCCGGCACTTGTGGGTTTGGTGTTGATCGGTATAGGAAGAAATCAATCACCTTTATACGCCATTTCCCCTTTTGCTTCGAGGAGAGCTCGCTTGAAAGTATCAACGAATCTCTGCCTAGCCATTTGATTGTGGGTGAAACGGCGGTGAGCGGATGTGTAGGACGGCGCATTGTCTGCAGAACTCTGTGAAAGTACTGAGATGAACTGTGTGCCGTTATCAGTTACAAGTGTTTCTGAACAACCGAATCTGGCGAAGATTTTCCGTAGTTTTGTTACGGTTGCTCGGGTCGGTGTGCTGTTCATCAGAAACACTTCAGGCCATTTGCTGTAAGAGTCGACAGCAGTGAGAAAACTTTGGCCGTTGATTGGTCCTGCGAAATCGACGTAGACACGGCACCATGGTCTCCTTGGTTTCGGCCATGAGTGGAGTTCCGTCTTTACTGGTGCCCTTGAAGCCGCAGCGCACTTGTGACAACTTTTAGCTATGTCTTCTAGTTGTCTGTCTGTGAATTACCAGTACTCAAAGCTTCGGACAAACACCTTCATCCAACTGACCCTAGGATATCCAGCATGGAACTGCCTAAGTACGAGCTTTTGTAGGACCTTGGGAATGACAACACATTCCGATAACAAAAGGCAGCCGTCATCAATGGAGACTGCATACCTCCTTTGTTAGTACTGCCACAATTCGGCTACTGAACATTTGCGAGCCAACTCGCCCTGTTGAATTGTGCGACTCTCTTGAGTACCGGATCACGAAGGGTTTCTGCTCGTACAGCTTCTGCTGTTACTGGTAGGTCGCGTAATGCATCACTCACAAGAAATCGCACTTCCGTTTCAAGCTCAACTGCGGCTATGATCTTGTCTTGCTGATGGGAGTCTACGAGGCGTGACAGTGCGTCCGCTTGCCCTATGGAAGCGGTTGTTTGATAGCTGATCACAAAATCATAGCTCAGCAGAGTGAGTGCGCAGCGTTGGAGACGGTTAGCCGTGTAAGCAGGGATGCCTTTCCTCGAGCCGAAGATGGCCAGCAATGGTTTGTGATCAGTCAGTAGTTTGAATCGGCGACCATATAGCACCTTATGGAATTTCTTCACTCCAAAGATTATGGCTAATGCTTCTTTTTCGATCTGGCTGTAGTTTCTCGGCTTTTGTCAAAGCCCTGGTCGCATGAGCGATCGCTTTCTGGGATCCATCTGGGTACAAGTGCGAAATAACTGCTCCGATCCCGTGATTTGATGCGTCCGTTGCGAGAATGATCTTATGAGTTGGGTCGTAATGAGTCAGCAACAAGTGTGATGTCGGCCGGTGGCCGAGTGGTCTGCACGTTTGCTTTGCAACCATAAGGTCACCGGTTCGAATCCGCGTAGGGGTGGGCGTCCTCGCGGTATACACAGCCCGCGCGCGACTGGTGGTGGTCGCGCGGCAGCGAAGCGCGGTTACGGCGTATAAGGTGACACCACCTGATTCGTTTAAAGGTACGCTAGCACTCTCGCGTCCAGTTCCAGGCGTGGTCTTTGGTCAGAAGCCTGTTCAGCGGGGCACGCAGGCGATGCAACTCAGGCAAAAATGCGCTGTAGTGACTGATGAGACCACAGAAAAAACGTAGCGATTGAACATCTATTGGTGGAGGCATCTTCCTTATAGCTTCGCTTTTTCGGATCTGGTCGACGATCATTCTTTTCAAGGATAAAACCAAGGTATTTGATGGTCGGAGTGCATTTGTCCACGAATCCGGAAGCCATAAGACTGGATACGATCAAGCACCTCCAAGCGGTCAAATAATTCCTCCGTTGTTCGGCCCATTACGATAATATCATCCAGGTATGCGGCGGCACCAGGAACTCCTGCCAACATGGTATCCATCAGCTGTTGAAAAATGGCTGGGGCCGTTTTCACGCCAAAAGGCAAGCGGTTGTACTGGTGCAGCCCACGGTGGGTGTTGATCATCAATAGCTCTTTCGAGTCCTCGGCAGCATCTACTTGAAGGTATTCATCAGAGAGGTGAAGCTCGGCACAGCACCTGCCATCATTCAATTTTGCTAATATGTCTTCTGGTAATGGCAAAGGGTATTGGTGGTCCTTGAGCGCAGTGTTGAGATCAGTTGAGAAATCTGCGCAGACGCTTTCTTTACTGCGACAATGGGTGCGGCCCATGAGGCGTAGTTTACAGGTGTGATGACGCTCCAGCTCCAGCTCTTGCTCAATGATTGGCATCACTGCATACAGGACCGGATGTTTAGCTTTAAAGACTGGCTTGGCTCCTGGTCGCAGGGACAGCGTCGCTGTGAATTTGGTACAATGGCCTAGGCCATCTTGAAACACAGGGTCA